AAAAAGAAATTAAAATGCATGGGTACCTGCAAATGACTCTTTACATGAGCAATGCTGAGCCCTCTAACATTCATCAACTGAAGAACCAACTTTGGAGTTGCTCCTGCAAATTCAAGATTTTGATCACCAATATCATATATAATATTATATGAAAAATACTTAAATACCTTATCATTAGGAGTTCCTATTAACTTTCTGATATGAAATGTTAAATTTAAGGGTCTAATTCTATAAATGAATCCTACAAATTAAATATCTTTGATCTAGTGGATAATGTTTAGTAACATATATTCTTGTTAAAACATAAGCATATTCCAAAAATTGTATACAAACTTTGAAACCAAACCATAACTGGTTTTTTATTTATCACTTTTGGTAAGGATCTATATTGATAAAATAAGGAATCTAACCGTAGTTTATCTCATGAATATTGATCATGGGTAGTTCTTTTAACTCATTGATCTTGGTTGGATTCCATTTTTGGATCGGATGCTCGTTTGAATATTTTAGATTCAACAGAATAAGAAACTAGTTAGAAGGGGTGTTATCAAACACTCTCGTGGAAAATGAAGGACACCGAGAGAACGTGAATTTGATTTTACCTTTCGGGAAACAAGAAAACGGTAGCATCACTAAACGGGGAAAAAATCAGTAGGATCGGAGTGGAAATGGAACAAATATATGCATAAATTAATTGGGAGGCTTACTTTCTTGGCCACCAAGTCTTTCAACAGCATTTACAAAGGCAAGGTGAAGATCAGGAGTCCAACGAAGCCTTGGCATTTTGGACCTCGAATATTTTCTAACACTTCCCCTTCTCCTCTCTTCTTCTTCTTCCTCTTCCTCTTCTTCTTCTTTCTGATCTTCTTCTCCACATCGGCCACCTGATGATCTGATGTCTTCCTCATGATCTTCAATGGCGGCTTCTTCATTCAAATCAAACCTCACAACTGAACATGACTTCCCACTACTCCCTTCATCTTCTTCTCTCCCCTCTCCTCCTCTCAACATCATTTTATTTAATTTCCCTCTCTACACCTGAAAAGTATATATATATAAGATCATAATATAATTAACCAAAGTAATTAATAATATATATTAACCCTAGAACTAGAATTGCATTGTTGTTTTGTTATTGGACATCTCCAAATTAAACAGGCAGCTGTGTTCATTAATTAAATTCAACTTCTAAAGGGCATCTTCTGTTCTCTCATAGTTAATTATTGGGTCAAGGAAACTGCAAAAATCTGAATAAAAATAAAAATAACAACACCAAAAATCAGAAAATTATTGAGTAAAAGCATATATAAGAAGCTACGTGAAACTACTTTAATAGGCAGATAAAATTAGTACTTTAATTCAAAGCATGAAAAGAAAAATCAAAATCAAAATTTGACACTTACCCCAGATAAAATCAGAAGATTTGTACACCTAAGGATCGATCTTCAAAGAAAAAACTACACAAAAAAGCAACACATGGAATTCAGATTCAAGATCATGAATAATGAAGGAGAGAGGAAGAGAGGATCCATAAATATGAGAAACCCACCAGATTAATAGAATACAGAGAAATATAACACCCACCATGGATCTATCCAACAGGAAATGAAGCTGTAATCCAATTTCTTGAAATTGTGTCTGAATTAATCTGAATAATCATCAACTGAGAGAGTGAGAGAGAAGAGGGAAAGGTTTAGGAAGCAAAGAAAAAAGGGATTTGGTGGGAATTTGTTGGAAAATGGATGAATGTTGTAGCTAGAGAGATTGACAAACAAATACCAAAATATTCTTGCTACCTCATTTAATATATATATAATTTTAGGACGAAAGCCTCAGAGGAAGACAATGGTCGGATATATGATGCCCACTTGATCAAGTTTTTCTTTTTTTACAATTGCAGTCTTTGTCAATATTTGTCATATATAATAATAATAATTAATCATGTCACCTGGAGGATGGCGCAATGGCAAGTGTCTCGGGGTTATGGTATCACCTACCATGAGATTTTGGATTCAAATCCAATGCTGGTCACTGTATTGTTCGGCTAGACAACGAAGAATTTCGATTATAGGAATTTACAGCGTAAGCCACGACTAAAATAAAAATTTAAGGAAAAAAAATGTATGGATGGGTCTCTTTTGGAAGTGTCAAAAATCATGTGATCTCTGTAACCCTTTTCTGAGTTCGATTGTTCTCTTTGACAGCTTGTTTTTGTTTCTCTTTGTCTCGTGATGATGTTTAATAGTTGACCTCTGCATTCTGCAACTAGGCCCCTAAGCCACTGCCCCATCTGTTTTTGTCTTTACAGATACATTAATATTCAATATTTTTATTACCCCTTTTAGCTTCTCTCGATTATTAATTACACTAATTATATATATTTCTCTTTTTATCTTCTAGGGTTCTACTAGCTGTTTTCTAAAGTTTTGTTTTATATATTTTAACTCTTCACTCAACGGCTAAGAGAAGACTGCACTCTCTCACTCTCCTCCACCAATCAGAATATGGTTGTGATTTTATATTGATGGTAATTAATAAGTGTGATTAAGAAAGGGTAATTATCAAGTTATCTACTTTTCGTGATCATAAACTTATGACTTGAAGTTTTGAACTTGAGACCTTTAAGTCGGTATTCTAAGAATTTCAAATCTTATTTTATAGGTATATATTTATATAATATCATTTTATCCGTATTGAATATTATAAAAGGTCCGTACACAATAGGCCTCATGAGATACGAGGATGAATTCTCCATCCAAATTAAAAAAACAAAAATGATCTATCAATATCCAAGATTAATTAAAGTAAAGTTGGTAGGTGAAAATTAATTGGAACAAAAGTATTAATGGCAATCTGTGGTCGATACATATTTATTATAAGTGAGAAATTTTTGTGTTGTCCAAATTAAAATATGTGTGATTTGTTTTTCCCTTTTTCCTATTGTCCAAGAATTTACTTTCCAAGGCATCTTCTAAAGAATTTCAACATTTTGTCTTTGCATTTGGCATAAGACCCACCCCCCTACTTGTTTATTATATATTTGCTTTGGAAAGAGAAATGCTGTCTGAAAACCCACAGAGAGAGAGACAAAATAATAATAAAAAAATATTAAAAAAATAATAATTATTATTAATCTTTCCTATAAAGGATTAGGTTTAGCTACACTACAAGACACCTAATTTTGACTTGGATTTTTGTGAGCTTACTTGAGACACCCATGCACCAAAGAGGGAGACTTCATATTTAAAATTAAGTTTAAATATATTTTTTATTCGTATATTTTAAAAATATTCACTTTTAGTTCTTCTACTTTCATTTTTTATTACTTTCAAAATCTTCGTGTTGGGCGTGTACTTTAAGAAATGACCAATTTTGTTCTTATTTGTAAAATTTTATCACAAATTTTACGTACATTGAAAACTCTTTAATACAAAGTCATGGTAACACATTTGATCAAGAAATTTAGAAAGTGGAATGTTATACTAAAATTATAATTCGCAAGAAATGAGATAATAAATAAAAATAAAGAAATCAAAATAGATATTTCGAAAGTATAGTGACTAAAATGGATAAAAGTTGAAAGTATTAAGAATTAAAATAAGGCACGAAGAATGAAAATAAATCAAATACAAAAGTACTGTGGAATAAAATAATATTTAATTTGGAGAATGACCAATTAATTTTAAAATTGGAATATTAATTAGTTGCTATAAATATATTTTTAGGGCCTAGAGGGAGATGTGGGCAATTTGTAGGTAGTTCATTAATGAAAGACAAATATTCGTAGAATTAAAGTGAAGAGTTGTGAGAGAGAGGGAGAGAGAATTGGGACTCGTGTGGATGGACAAAATGGAATAATTTCGTATCTCTTGATTGAGATTAATTAATACCTTAATTTACTTATTTGGTGATTTATTACGACCCAAAGTTGACATTTTCCCTCTTTTTAGTTGCAATTCAAAGCACTTCCCAAGCGACAAAGGAATCTTTCTCGGAATCAAACCCCAATTTATCAGTTTTGGCAATATATATATATATATATATATACACTTCCAACTTGGAATTAAGATTATACTTTGTTAAGTTTTTAATAATTAGTTCCTATTCTAAACACGACATCGCTTAATTTACTCGATCTACTAACTGGCCATAACTTTATATTTACTGATCAAAATTTTAATCTAAGTTGGTTAAAAGATCGGGTTAAGTTATAAGTTTAGTTTTAAACTTTTATGTTTGTTTCTCTAAATAAGTTCTTTTTAACTCTCGACTTTATATCTAATATATCTCTAAAATTTAAAAAAGTGTATGATAAGGTCCTTAAACTTTCCGGTATATCTTATAAGTCTTCAACAATTGTGTCTAATTAACCTTGACCTATATTCATCTTTTTTTTTTTTTGATTTATAGACCTATTAGACACAAAATTGAAAGTTTAAAATTTATTCGTAAAATTCAATTTTATGTCAAATAAATTCGCTTGATGCTTTTGATTAAATTTGTAATTTAACAAAAAGATTTTTAAAGTTGGTTTTTTGCGATGTGTTGTTAAATCAAATACCATTTCCTTCCAAATCAAGAGCAAAAGAAGAAATGGTTTGAACGCCTCTTTTATACAAACTAGTTTGTTACCGTGCGCGATGAACATTTATATATCTAATATGATACCGTTTATAATTTTATTAATAATTAAAATTAATTCATATTATTTTCGTTCACAGAAGTGTTAATCTTTTATATGTTAACCTACCCCTTATTTGTATTTCTTGGCGTTAACTTTTCATGAAAAGGAAAGCTGTTATTATTAGAAATTAGTAATTTACGGTGGTTTATAAGAAATTTTAATGAACTCGAATTAGAAATTACAAAAAAGTGTAGCACGAAGTGTTGGTGAAGAATGGTGGAAGAAAATGCCTATTTATATTAGTGGAAGGATGAAAAAGTTACAAATCTTTTGAAATTCTAAAAGTTTTGAAATTATATTATTAATAATTATTACTGACAACCATTAAGCTATGCATAAATTAAATAACAACCTTTTAAATAATTAACTTTTTAGATTTCATGTAACTGTTATAGTTGATAATTAATTAATGATTTTTTATTGACAATTAATTAATTATTTTACTATTCACCATTAAATTTTAATTGAATGTTTTATAATTTTATAAATTTAAAAAAATATATAATGATCTAAAAATGCTTTTTCAAGATCTCTAAAAAACATGATAAATTTCTTACAAAATTTAAACATTTAATGAAAAAAAAAAAAGCATGCGCCAGCATTTTAAATAAAATAACATACTAATACTAATTATAGGAACATTAACAAATAATAATATAGCAATTATAAAATAATAAAAATAAAATAAAAGTAATAAAAATAAAAAAACTAAAAACTAAATCAATACACACATATTTGAAGATATATTTATCTTGTTAGACAAACATCATTATTTAACTTCATCAAAGTAAAATTGTAATAAAAAAACTTACGCACCAAGATATAGATTTGACATATAACTTTCGTGTCGACTTTAACGTATCAGGTATGTCTAGAGTTGCTTTCAAGATTAGAAACTGAGAGCAAGAAAATGAGAGAACTAAAAATAAAAGAAAAATATAGCTCGATGTTTGGTGATAATGGTGGAAGATAATGTTTATTTATATAGGTAAAAAATGAAAAAAGTTGCCAATCTTTTAGAATTATATTATTAATTATTACTAATGAAAACTATTCCGCTCTTCATAAACTAAACAACCATTTTTGTTACATATTTTAACTTTTTAGATTCCATATAATTATTATGGTTGATAATTAATTAATTATTTATTATTGATTATTAATTAATTAATTTACTATTTACAATTAATTTCTTTTTCTTCCCAAAAAAAAAAAAACTATTTACAATTAATTTTATGTTTGGTATTAAAGAAAGGATATAATGGTTTAAAAATACTGTTTCAAGATCCTCTATTTTTATATATAGTATAGATAATTTTTCTAACGTTAGCTGATGAAATGAAATTAATTATTGAGAGCACTAATTTTATGGGCTAATTATTTTTGCCTGGTGGAATAATGTCTCATGTAAGGATAATTGATCAGATATAATTTTGAAGTGTGTGAGTGTGAGATGGGAAAAAAAAAGGAATCTAGTTTCTGAGCATTGGCAAAAGAGCCGCCGCAAACAATGCCATTTTGTGAGATCTCAAATTCAGAGAGTGAGTCAGTGCCATTGTATTTTAGAATGTCAGTGTTGGAGATCACATGTCCATGTTTTAAGGAAGAGTAGGATCAATCAAACCTTTTTTTTTTTACTATATTCAGGCATACCCGCCCCCACCGGCTGAATACTTTAAATTTCTGAGTCAGTATGATCAGGAAATTCTATGACCAACCTAGCTACCGTTTAAGGGTCTCTTTTTTTTCCCTTTATATTGTAGCCAAAAGAAGAAAGGGTCAAATGAATTTCCCTCTTCAATCGATTTGATCAATTTTCATTCTGATTCTTAGTAAGTGAACCTAAATTCTCAAATCGAATAATTCCATCATGAACACTTATGATTGAATAGCACCTGAAAAGTGAAATTACCGTGCAGTTAGGAGGAGCCACTGCAATTATTCTCATCCTTCAGAACAAACCATAGGAGAAAACAACTTTAAATTAAAATTCATCTCGTAAACTTGATAAAAACTTTCCTCTTGTTCTTGGCAACTAAAAGGTTCACATGAGAGCCATTCACGTCAGACCTTTTTT